GGGAATATCTTTTGTGTTACCGGTATTTCCCCTTAACGTCGTTTTTTTAATTGTTCTCTAATTCCTCCATTGTCTAAGTTCCCCCTAAAGTACAGGTAATAATAATTAATAATAGTAATAATAATAATAATAATAATTATTATTATTATTATTATTATTATAATCACATTTCAGCATATAATTACCTTGGCCTAAGGCTTGAAATGAAGAACCTACAGATACTATTTACTAGGCCTATAAATAATAACTAGCCCAAGGGGAATATTTTTTGTGTTATTTCCCCTTTGTCTAAGTTCCCCTTAACGTACAGGTAATAATAATAATAATAATAATAATAATAATAATAATAATAATTATTATTATTATTATTATTATTATTATTATTATTATCATCATCATTTCGGCATTACATGTAATTAACTTCGTCTAGCCTTGTAATCAAGAACCTGCTGATTACTATGCCTAATATTAATAACTAGCTCATTTTTACATTCATTTGATGTTTTGCCATTTTGGCAGGTCTTATGGCATCCAGTATTTTAGAGCTGCCTAGTCTCAGCTCTTCTCTTAATTTGAAAATAACTGTCATTCTGTTTCATTTGATCAGATGAAGAAAAACGCGCTTTTCCTTACTCTTTGTGCTTTTCCCAGAAAGCGTTTTTAGTAGGCTAGGTAATTATGCAAAACCCAGGCCTAACTAAAAAATTAAAATTGTCATAGTATGTAACTCAAGTTTAAAAAATAACACTTTTCATTACTCGTGCAGCTTAATCAAATATTATGTCATTTTAAACGACCCATTGGTATTAACTCGGTAACATCAATGTATTTTTAAAAATTAGACAGCGACGATTAGATTTTTTTTCCCGTACGAAATATGTACATGAAACTCCACTCGGGCCGTCTGCGTTTTTTTTCCCGTACGAAACATTTACATGAAACTCCACTCGGGCCGTCTCGGCTGAATCGACCCGAAAATCTCATTGCAGAATTCAGGAGGTCAAAAGGTCATCAACAGATAAACGTCTGCAGAACAACTTCTGAGAGATCTAGTTAAAAGTCCTTGATCGATCGCAGTGTGCGAGATGCGAAGTACAAAAACCAATTTCATTAGAGAGGGCGCACTTTATTGACTGTATAAAGTATACATAAAAGCGAGAGCATTCCAGCGGATGCGATTTGTCAAGTAACGAAGAATTCGTCGAGAAAATGGTAATCTCCTATGAGAAATAGTCTGTATTTCTCATTTTTTTATTCTTTTGCGTAAAACTAGAATTTATGCCAACATTTTTCCATTGTTTATAATATATAGAGTAATGTATATGATTTATTCCAAAAAAAAATCTTTTTAGTGAAATTTTGCGTAGGCATACCTTACAAAATATGCCCTACTAAACCCCCACCAGTACAGATTTAGCCCAAAACACTCCACATCACATGCCATAGAAAAATATAATCACGTCATTCGAAAATAAAAAAAAAAATATTGCTGCGAAGCAGCCAATTCATATTCTTGACAGCAATTTGACATCGGAAAGGTCATTGTTTGTCAAAAAACAACAAAGGGCCTAAGAAGACTGAAAAAGGGAGTTTCCTTCTTTCATTCTGCCGGGTAAAATCAATTACTTTAGGCGACGTTTGTAGACTAACCTACTCGTACCAACGTCCGCATGTCGCGCTAGCACTCTACGCCGGCCTATACTAGCTAGGATGGTATAGGCCTAGCCTTGAAGGGACGAAGGTCCCAATGAAAAACAACGTCGCTCTTTGATAGCTAACATTGTCTATTTAACATCACAATAATTCATTATTAGACCTATAGTTGTTTTTTGAATTGTACTCCACAAATCTCAGCCGATACGGTACCTCGCACAACTCGTTAACGTCTCGTATCCGAAACCCGCCCTTGGAAACTTGCCCCATAAAAAAAATGTACACTTCCTAGACCATGCAGTCTTCAAAATAAAAATTGTAACCTTTGGTAATCAACTACATTTTCCACATACATAGAAATTTTTGAAACTTTATAAAAAAAACCTAAACCATAATTCACCACTATATATAGACACTTTTTGACAAAAATGAAAAATTATGACTTTGTTACCCAATGAGAAGTGTTCTAATACTTTGTTACCCAATGAGAAGTGTTCTAATATAGACAGTGGGTCGTGTCTCATATTATTTGTTATATTTTTATTATTCATTATTTGCACTTGACTCGCATAAATAATTTTGTTCGAAGAACATTTATATGCAGTTGTACTTCGCAGCACTTCACTTGCAATTTGCAATTTTTAGTTAGTATATTTATAGACCTATCAAAAGATTTTGATGTTATGAACCACGATAAAATTGTTAAAAAAGATCAACACTATGGTATCCGGGGAATTGGTTTTAATTGGATATAACCTATCTAAGTGGATGAAAACAATTTGTACAAATATGGATGATATTAAATCACCACTACAAAAATTTTAAATGCGGAGTGTCGCAGCATGGAGAAAATCTATTAATATATTTCCTCCATGGTCGCAGGGATCCATCATGGGTTTTTATTTATTATTTATATAAATTATATTTTTAGAGTAAGTGATATTTTAAATGTGATTTCCTTTGCGGATAATACCTCTTTCTCCTTATGCGATAAAAACCTTAATCTTATTAATACATTAAAAACTAATTATAAAAAATCAATCAATGGTTTAAGGCCAACAAACCAATTTTAAATATTGGTAAAACAAATTTTATCATTTTTAGACCAGACCAAAAGATGATCCCTGTTATTGATTCCCAAATAAAAATTAACAATTTAGTGTCGGATGGTTCGCTAAACAATTAAAAAAAGTCTCGACTAATTACTCTGAGAAATTGTTTTGAATAGAGATATTTTAGGATAACCCTAAGACATCTAATAAAATGAATTTTTCCTTTATGATAGAAATGTTTAAAATATCCATACCTTCGTCTACAGATAGGAAGACGCTAGTCGATTCTATACCAAAATTGTGACAATCCCAGGTCCCGTCTAAGTCATTTTCAAAGCCTATTATTGTTAGATCACTCTGATTATCCATATTGGCAATCATAAAGCGTGCTGGGTTCTGGATGATATTACCAAGTGCTATAAGTCCACTATTGTGCTGCCAGACAAACGTAGCTACCGAAACAGAACTGATGCACGTGAGATTGACATCATTGCCAGACAAAATGGGATCCGTGTCCACTGATATCACTAGAGAGGCTGAAAGAACAATAAAGCATTACAATTTTTAAAGGGAAAAAATTATTAAAATCAAATACGGACATTGCACTAATATTATATTTCCTATGCCTATATTTTGGTCTTATCACATTTATAAGTTAGTAGTTAGGTAAACAATAGGCTTAGAGCTGCGACTACCAGCGGATTCGGGGGAGGAAAGTTCAGGTGGTCAAGACCCTCAAGCTGTGAAGTGGAGCCCCTCCTTGGACCTCGTCTATTTCGAATTTATCAACCGTCTCGCATCATGCGGGACGGTCTCGCAATTCAAAGGGATTTTGAATGAAACACGCATTTTGCAGAAACACATGCGTGATCATAAGTTTGTCTCGCATTTTTACCACAATTTATAGGCCTATATGTGTGATAATTAATTATCACAAATTAGGGGGAAAATGTATTTAAAATTAGAAGAAATTAGTTTTATTAAAATTATAGAAAATGCCTCCGACAATCTGTTCAACCATGAAGCCTCTGTGGTCTAATGGTTAAGACACTCTCCTTGACAGGGAGAGGTCGCAGGTTCAAATCCCGTCAGAGGCATTTTGTTACACAATTTCTTTATATATTTCTTGATATCACTAGAGAGGCTGAAAGAACAAAAAAAGCATTACAATTTTTAAAAGGAAAAAATTATTAAAATCAAATACGGACATTGCATTATTATTATATTTCCTATGCCTATATTTTGGTCTTATCACCTTTATAAGTTTGTAGTTAGGTAAACAATAGGCTTAGAGCTGCGACTACCAGCGGATTCGGGGGAGGGAAGTTCAGGTGGTCAAGACCCTCAAGCTGTGAAGTGGAGCCCCTCCTTGGACCTCGTCTATTTCGAATTCATCAACCGTCTCGCATCATGCGGGACGGTCTCGCAATTCAAAGGGATTTTGGATGAAACACGCATTTTGCAGAAACACATGCGTGATCATAAGTTTGTCTCGCATTTTTACCACAATTTATAGGCCTATATGTGTGATAATTAATTATCACAAATTAGGGGGAAATGTATTTAAAATTAGAAGAAATTAGTTCTATTAAAATTATAGAAACGGTCATGCAGTAACTTGAGTTATTAGAAAATTAAACATACATTGAAACTCAAATTGTATGTGGCTTTATTAAAAACATTTATGTATATGTACCGTACCGTACGTATTGCATATTGTCAACAAACACTCTGAAATCGTTTTAAAACAGCTTTAAAATGCTCAGAGCACCAGGCCATGTAGCATAGCTCTTGAGTCTCAACGTATGTTGTCCTATAAATAAATAGAACATATACAAATAAATAAAGAAATTGTGTAACAAAATGCCTCCGACAATCTGTTCAACCATGAAGCCTCTGTGGTCTAATGGTTAAGACACTCTCCTTGACAGGGAGAGGTCGCAGGTTCAAATCCCATCAGAGGCATTTTGTTACACAATTTCTTTATATATTTATTCATAGGACAACATTCGTTGAGAGCTATGCTACACGATGTATTATCATGTCCTTTATTCGAACACTGTATTTACTGTTAAATATATAATTTAACTGTGTTAACGGCTATCTTGATTCATAATTATATGCTATTATTTGTTCCCAGATTGTAATGGGGGTGTATCTGACATTATTTGACTATTTTATTTTCTCCATGGTTCAACCATGAAGCCTCTGTGGTCTAATGGTTATGACGCTCACCTTGACAGGGAGAGATAAAAAAAAAAACTTATCTATACAAAATTAAATCAATATCATTAAAACAGTGGAAATTTCATTAATTATATTACGGATTAACATTCAACCGATTGACCCCTATTAATGCGGACCGAGGTCTCCAGGGAAGATCGTAATTAATTATGAAATTAATTAACAATAATTATTTAAAAATTGTATGCGCGGTATAGTGTGCATGTAAGTTCAAAAAATATGTGAGAAAATATAAAAAAAAACGTTTATAGAAAATATTTCTTCTTCCATTTATAATTAATTTCTAAGTTTAGGGTAATTAGCAATTTGTAATTTGATCGTTGATTTTGTAACATGATCGAGCCGTCGGCGTCAATACTGGTGATGAATAAAATCACCTAAAATTTATTAAAAAAAACACACTAACTTATTTTCAGAAAATAACTACTCTGAAACTTTCATACTATAAATATAGTATGAAATACATACTGTACCATATTTGGTTATTATATCGACATATTTCCGCGTAAAATAGATTTGTTGTGGCTGAAAGCAAATCATGTGCTATCAATTACGCTTGACAACATCTTGTGTGTTTACAAAAATGAAAACGACCCCTGAACATGACAGTTGAACTTTTTTTTTCCAACTGTTTTTCGGTGATGATTTGCACCCTCTACGCGTGGAGAAAGATGAGAAAAATTTTGATACCAAAGTCGTCCTATATCATCGTAATTTTTCGTATTTTTTCATAATTTTTTTTACATCATCTGGATTTTTTAAATATACAAATTTCGCACGACCTCGGACGACTAGGCAGAAAATTAATGATTTTACTTCGCGAGGTAGGTTAGGCTATTCACGGTACGGTGCGTAGTGGGAAATGGGTGATTGAACGCGGCGAGGCGCCTAGGGGATTCGGCCTAGGCCCCCTTCGATGTAAAATTTTATATTATTTTTATCTTCCAAAGTTCTTTGTCAATAAATTCAAATTTAGTTTTATTTTGTAAAGGAATAATTTGTGCTGATGTGGAGATGTGTTTTTTTATTCTGGCTACTGACTCAGGATTCCAATAATTATTTTTTAAATTATTCATTAAAAAATAAATATGAATTAAATCAATAATTGGAAATAATTTATTTTATTTATTTTTTTCATAATTTTACAATATTAAATAATATGTTATTTAGAAGCACTTTTTTTTATTATCTTTCAATTGGTATCAATCATTATTGTATTATTCCTTCAGAAAAAATGATAATAAAACTATATTTCTGACACTGAAAAAAAATTCAAAATCATAAAAAAAAATCTAGGGGTCAGTGGGTATGATTAAATTTAAAGAATAGTAAATACATCGAGGTCGAAGTAAAATAAATCCCTACAAATTGGACATACACATACTAGAATGAAACTTCAAACGTGCCACTTCAACGACGTGGTATTTCGGATTTTCACTGCATAATGTCAATTCTATGTAAAATTATAGCACAAGGTATATAAAACATTGTCAGAAAATCAGCCCAAAAGCTTATCTTATTTTTGTTGGTTACGCACCGCTGCCAATGCTCGCATTACCGTGTTTTTATAAAAAATGGTTGCACTTTTTCACTAGAAACGCGTTTAGAAGGAATTTAACCGTTTATAAAAAAATATGTGTTTTTGGCGTCATTCTGCAGAAACACGCCATGAAGGTCTATAGCGCACAATGAAAAAAATATATATATTATTGGGCATTGAAAGAACTAAATTTTTACCATAGGCCTATATGTAAATATTATATTATAAATAAATGGAATTAATGGAAATTGCGAATATGAACAAATAATTACAAGCGCTTACGTCGTGGATGAGATGGGTAGATGTAAAAAATAAATAAAATCGAGAATTCATAAAACCTACAAAAAACATTGCAAAATTTAAATAGGTATACAGTGTTCGAAAAAACAACAAAATGTACATAAGGAAGTTACTATAATCATTACAAATATTACTTGTAGTAAATACAGAAGTTGTATTGAATGAATTTGGTCACAGTAGCATGAATTTGGTCACTGCTGAATGAATGTGGTCACTGCTAAATGAATTTGGTCACTGCTGAATGAATTTGGTCACTGCATTGAATTTGGTCACTGCTGCATTGAATTTGGTCACTGCTGAATGAATTTGGTCACTGCTGCATTGAATCTTGAATTTGGTCACTGCTGCAGTGCAATGCTCACTGAAGGCACTCCCGGCGTTTCATAGGATACATCCCCTGGTCCAGCCGACAGCTAAGCAGTGCCTAGCCATTGGAGTTGGGTAGTGGCGTAGCTAGAGGTTATGGCGCCCGGGGGAAAGAGTAGAAAATTGCGCCCCCCTTCCCCCACCCAATTATAATTATAATATTTTGACAATTTATGGGTTTCAAATGCTTATCTAATCGATTTTAGAGTCTTCTAATATGTACAAAATACATATATTTTTTTCTCCCCAACGAATTATAGTTTTTCTCTCCGAAGAACAGGAGGCGGTGGTGGTGGGGGGCGCAGTTATCCCCGAAAGAGACGCTGGCGCCATCCCTGCTTCTTACTATTGAAACTGCATTACAATGTTCGGAACTTTGTATACAACTTTACCATTATCCTAATTTGTAAAGGCTGTTGTATTTATGGCATACATCTTAGTATTCTTATTCTCTAACTTATCTTATAGTAGAGTCTTGTAAGTTGCTGAATTTCATTGTTTAATCTTGCAACTGAATTTTGTGTGCTTTTGTATCAGCAAATAAGTTAATAACATGATCAAAGGTAGCAACATTGTCTGCTTCATCTCGCTCAAGCGCCAAAGCAGATAGTGTTGCTTTTTCCATCGTGGCTCTGAGATATGGCAGGATGAGCTTTAGTCATGTAGTCATTGCAGAATAGAATAAAAAACAAGAGAAAACGGTCGAAACGGACTGAAAAGAAATAACAATCTATACATTTGCCAAAAAATACACCTACATTCAGATTCTTATTAACGGGAAAATATTCATGCCTGGCGAAATACATCAATTTCGTTGTGTTTTTCTAAAAAGTGCTTATTTTTTTACTCTCAATCTCCCATTTCAGCGCCCCCTCAAACCCGGCGCCCAGGGTAGGTGCCCCCCCTTGACCCCACTAGCTAAGCCACTGATTTCGTGGTGAGACCTCACATAATAGCTTCACTTATGATATCACTGCACTTTATTTTGTTTATTTAATGATAATAGTAATATTTTTTATTTATTCGATGGCACTCAAAAATCATTTGGTGCGTTTAAAATGAAACAAAATAAATAAGTTAAGATTCTTAGCTACAAGTACAAAAAATTAAATTATTAAACAATACATGACATTCTTAAGTAAAAAAATAAACACAAGTATAGTGCTGCTGATGATCCCCGAAAAACATGACAATTAAATACAATTGCATGAACAACGTGCTTTACTTGTCACAAATTTCGAAGGGCCACCTGTACGATCAATGGACTCCGCGATAAAGTGCCGGTAAACAAAATTAATTAACTACAAATTATTAATCAGTAATACATATACCGTAAACTGGGGTAACATTGGCATGCAGGGTAACTTTGGCAGTTCACTACCTGCAAACTTTGTCGGCTCGTTCGGAGGATTTCTATTCACCTGATTGGAGAATGGTTGGTACCAACTTGTTCAGAAATAAATAATTTCATTATATCAAGTTTGATTTTTTTTTTAAACAATATGTTTTTATAAAAATATAAGAAAGACTTTAGGGGCGTGGCCTAATTTTAAGGGTCATTTTAAAAAATTGCGAATAAATAGAAAAAAAATAAAATCGAAGACAGGCCATATGGTAACGCCCTCTAGTTGTGTCAAATGTAAAGAAAATCGTGTACAAAAGCCTTTACCGATCGTGCATTGTTCGCCAAACTTCTTTCGAAAAATCATAATATTCAGAAAATGTCCAGCCTTTGTTATAGCAACTATTTGCTTGACCTTGAACGGTAAGTCAGCTATATATGAGCTAAAGAACATATTAAGTGTGTGACTATGAAAGAATACTCTGTAATCATGATTTAAAAACATGTTTAAGCTTGTCTAAGCATCTTGCAATGCAGCTAGACGACATACACCATGCATGAGGCATCATGCTGCATGCTTGTGCCTGACCTTTAACTCCTCCAAGTCTAGGCCTAGTCAATTCTCTCTAGCCTAGGCGAGAATGTTTAGCATAATTTAGGGTACTGGACACACCCACAACCACTAAATTATTTATGGATGATGTATTCAGAAGTGTCTATACAAATAATTATCAAAATTATTAATCCTAACTAAAAATAATAGTATAATATTATTTATGATGCCAACATTACTACTAGGCCTAAACCCGGAAGTAAATGTTTTGTTTTTGTTTGGTCAACGTAAATTTAAATAGTAAGTTGCTGAATTTTTAACATTGTTTAATCTTGCAACTGAATTTTGTGTGCTTTTGTATCAGCAAATAAGTTAATAACATGATCAAAGGTAGCAACGTTGTCTGCTTCATCACGCTCAATACTAAGTACTGCCAAAGCAGATAGTTTGGCTTTTCCCATCGTGGCTCTGAGATATGGCAGGAGCGTTAGTCATGTAGTCATTGCAGAATAGAATAAAAAACAAGAGAAAACGGTCGAAATGGACTGAAAATAAATCACAATCTATACATTTGCCAATAAAAACACCTACATTCAGATTCTTATTATTAACTGGAAAATATTCATGCCTGGCGAAATACATCAATTTCGTCGTTTTTTTCTAAAAAGTGCTTATTTTATACTCTCATTCTCCCATTTCAGCGCCCCCTCAAACCCTGCGCCCGGGCACGTGCCCCTCCCCCCTTGAACCCCACTAGCTACGCCACTGGTTGGGGTGGTGACACCTGGGTCGCCAGCTCGGAAATAAATGCCATAATTAATTGAAAAAACAGTTTTCTCATCAGTGGCTTAGCTAGAGGTTTTGGCGCCCGAGGGCAAGAGTACAAAATTGCGTTTTCCCCCAAATTAATTATAATATTTTGAATTGAAATTGATATTGGTTGTATACTTTAAGCATATACCTACCGTACGTCAATATCATGCACTGCCTAAATAACATTATTTAAACCCGAATAACTATTATTATTCTAGCTCTCATATGTTCTTTCTTACCAGGGGTGGTGCCAGGATTTGCCCGAGGGAGGTCCGAGGTCGGGGGTGGGGTGGGAGATTTTCTTGACGAGAGCAAAGTGGGCGTGATGATCGAGCGTCCCCGAACATTTTTGAAATTTATGGGTCTCAAAGGCTTATTTAATCGATTTTAGAGTCTTCTAATGTACAAAATACATATAATTTTTTTTCTCCCCAACGAATTATGGTTTTTCTCTCCGACCGGGGGTGGGGGGCAGCTATCCCCGAAGGGGAGCCTGGCACCACCCCTGTTTCTTACTATTGAAACTGCATTATGATGTTCGGAACTTTGTATACATACAACTTGACCATTATCCTAATTTGTAAGTTTGTTGTATTTATTGCATACAGCTTAGAATTCTTATTCTCTAAATTTATCTTATAAAAGAGTCTTGTAAGTTGCTGAATTTTTAACATTGTTTAAACTCGCAACTGATTTTTGTGTGCTTTTGCAGCAAATAAGTAAATAACATGATCAAAGTTAGCAATTTTGTCTACTTCATCACGCTCAAAACTAGTAGTGCCAAAGCAGATAGTCTCGCTTTTCAGATCGTGGCTCTGAGATATGGCAGGATGTGCTTTAGTCATGTAGTGTCATTACAGAATAGGATAAAAAAAAAAACAAGAGAAAACTGGTCGAAATGGACTGAAAAGAAATCACAATCTATAAATTTGCCAATAAAAACAACTACATTCAGATTCTTATTATTAACTGGAAAATATTCATGCCTGACGACATAGGCCTACATCAATTTCGTCGTGTTTTTCTCAAAAGTGCTTATTTTTTTACTCTCATTGTGACCGGGACCCAAAAAGGGCCCCAAGTTTCAGAAATACACAGGGCCCCCGGTCCCATATCGTTACGCCACTGACTGTTTCTCATGGTTTTGACTAAATGGGTCCCTTAGCATATTTACTTTTTTTAAAACAAAATACTGCACTTGCTCCCAGATTCCTAGAAAACATAATTAATGTAGACCTAATATTAATATATATATATAACTGAAAGAATCATTACCATTTCCAGAATGAATCACTAAAATCGTCACAAGAAGACATATCAACAATGATTCCATCTATAAGTTTCGGGGAAAAATCAAGTGTGCGTCTCACTTAGCCTATAGGATTTTTATTAATGAGCCGAGCAGAATGCTTTAAAAGTTTAATCTAATCTTTGGTTCCATGTGAATATTCATTATCTGGTCACGTTGTCATGCGTATTATAGTTAGCATTATGTTTAAAGCTCAGGTTATTCATCTCTACAATTTAATTGCCTGAGCTTATAATACTCTCTCAATCACGTTTTGTTTAAATAACATAATATTTGTGTTACCATTAGAGAGTTAAAACATCTTTTGTATTAATTCCTTCTTACCAACCTGACGTTCCACAATATAATTTTAGGGGAATCCCCGAACTGTAATATCATCACAGATCTCTGTGTTGGTCTATATTCATGACAATGGAAGAAACTCATCCGCTATTTTTTGTAATCAGCGAATGAGCAGGGGCGGATCCAGAAGTTTTGGTTAGTGGGGGGGGGGGGTTAGGTATATGTGTAAAGTGCCTCCAAGTGCCTGCGGAGACTAGGTTTGGGAGGAGGTGTCTCCGTCCGATAAGATGGGGTTCAGAGGGGGGTAGCTGAACGCTTTAGCTATTAGATGTATGTATGTTTGTGTGTGTATGTGTGTATGTATGTATGTATATATATATATTTATATAAATAATATATATATACATGTGTGTATATATATATATACTCTTGTATAAAGAAATAATAATGGGTTCCAACACAGGAGTGGGTGGATTTTGAATTCCTCCAGAAGTCGAAATTTATGAAATTCGAATATTGTTATAGTGACTGCATTAAGCTTTCAAAACAATCTGATAGTACTACGTTGAAAACAAACTGAATAAATTTACTTGTACAATGGAGCTTTTATTTAGTATCTGTATATAATTGAAGAAGAAATTTGTGGTAGACACCATTAAAAATAATAACTGATGCCTAGTTGTTGTTGTCAAGTGCAATTTGAGTAATTATTCATTCATTAAACAACATTTATTTCCGTAAATGTTAAACAATATTTATAGTAAATCATTATTATAACAAGAATATATGTAAATAAATTAAT